CTTTCTTTCCTTTCTTTCCTTTCTTTCCTTTCTTTCCTTTCTTTCCTTTCTTTCCTTTCTTTCCTTTCTTCCTACCTTCCCTCCCTACCTCCCTTCTTCCTTCCTTCTTTCTTTTCTTTCTTTCTTTTTACCTTCTTTCTTTCTCTTCCTAACCAGCATTCCTCTGTCAGCCAGGTAAACTCTACCACATCCCAGCTGGAAAGCCAGAGTGGAGCCAATTCCTGAGAGAAATGGGGGTGAAGTGTGTGCATGTGTGTGAGGGGGAGATTAGGGGGTGACTACTGATAGAGGAAAGCTCCTCAGGGCTCTCCAAAAGAAATATAGGGTATCTGAAGGCTGGCAGCTGACTTTGCACACAGGGTGGTTCTGATTTGGGACTATAATATCTGTGTTCCCCACAGCTCATCAGGCAGATTAAACCAGATGCTAATGGGCAAGGATCTCTCTAGTGCCTGGTACCACTCAGTTGCCTTAAATTCATTAGCAGCTGCTCACAACATTTGAGAGCCAGATTGGGGAAGGTTCTCCCTCCAGCTTGACTGGGCATGGCAGAGAAATTTCCTCTGATTTGGGGAAAGGTTCTTTCCTTGTCTTCCCTAGTCAGCATGTGCTCCATCACAGGGGAAGGAAGCTTCTTCCCAAGGTTACTCCAGAGCTGCTGTACTGGCAGACCATCCTCAGTTACACAGATTGCCTGCTACCTGTAAAGTTTGGGTGGGAAGAAGGATCTAGCAGCCGATTGTCAAGAACGGTAAATTAAGGTATGCAAAGCATTATTTACATATATATATATATGTGTGTGTGTGTGTGTGTATATACACACACACACACACACACACACACACACACACACACACATATAAACTCTTTTGATCCTCACAACACCCCTGTGAGGAGGGGGCTATTATATATATGTGTGTATATATATATATACACACACACACATATACATATATACATATATATACACACACATATATGTATGTATGTATGTATACATCTGTGAGGAAGGGGCTATTATTATCTCCATTTCAAAGATGAGGAAACTGAGGTTCAGAGAAGTTAAGTGGCTTGCCTAGGGTCACACAGATAATAAGTATCTGATGGAGGGGTTTAATCCCTAGAACATCCTGAATCCAAGTCCAGCACTCTACCCACTATACCACACTACCCCAACCTAACTTTGGTAAATAATTCAATCCTGGCTTCTCCTACAGACTCTGATAAATCCTTAAGTGGATCTATGATCTTCTCAACTTGAACATTTGGACATTCCCTCCAGCAATGCAGATTGCAACCTATTCATGCCTTCCTATCCTGGGCAACTCAGGTCCATGTACTTCCTGCACAGGGAATCCATCCAAAGTATTAGAGCCTTTTTTGGATTTCTAAGGTTCCAATAGAATGTGACCACTTGTCATCCCTTGATCTGTCCATCCCCTGATCTGTCCATCCTTGTTTGTTCAGACCTGCGGTTTCATTGAGGAACTCCTAGTGAGAAAACTCCCATCACCGAAACAAATTGTCATCTGTTGGGCAGCTTAGAGCATCGAGAGGTGCCTGGGATACGAACAGGTTTAGGGACTTGCTGAGAGTCCTGTACCAATCATTAGGTGTTAGAGGCAGAATCTGAGCCCAGGTCTTTTTGACTCTGAGGCTGGCTATTTATCCCCTGTATCATGTGACTTCTCATCCTCATCCTCATCATGATGAGATTTAGCATCATAGAGTAGATAGAGTCAAATTTGGGGTCAGGATGACCTGGGTTGAAGTTGACAAGCAAATAACAATCAGCATGGGTAGAGGGAATTTCTTCTTCACCATGATTTGCATACACCAAGGAAATCATAGGTTCTTTTCCAGGAAAAAAAAAAGTTATTTCTTAGGGGGAACATGGTATAGGAGATAAATAAATGGCTTTAGACTTTGGAAGACCTGGGTTCAAAATCTGCCTCTGACACATTGGCTGGGTGGCCTTGGGCAAGCCTTAATCTCTCCACAGAAAGGTAGGTATAAATCTATGGATAGAAGACATTTCCTCATTTTATTCTGAGCACAGAGTGACTCCAATGAGATGCACAGAGTCCCGGAGATGCAAGGGACACCAAGGGTAGTCCAAGCTGTGCCAGAAGGAAGACCCTCTGTACAGTATGTCCAACAAATAGTTATTTAGCTTGAAGCCTTCTAGGGAGGGAGAGCCCACTTCCCCAGGCCCTGAGCCCATTATACTTTTATATGACTCTGATTGTTAGGAAGTTTCTTCCTTATATTCATTGTAAATCTGCCTGACTTCAACTTACACCCATTAGGTGAAGCAGAACAAAGCTGATCCCTCTGTATGCCAGCCCATCAGACACTGAATACAGCTCTCCTGTCCTCCCTAGTTCTTCCTTCCTCTGGGCCAAACACATCAGTTCACCGAATTTCAGAGACAGAAGAAATCTTAGAGAACAGCGGGTCCAGTCCATCCCTGATTGACAGATTGCTAGACCAAACTGGCTCTCGCAGAAGAGATAAGAAAATGGACCTTCCTCCTTTCCTTGTAGAAGTGGAGAGATCATGGGTGTGCAACTGAATATACTGTCAGATTCAGTCGATGTGTCAGTTTTGCTGAACTGCTTTCCCTATCTGTCTCTCTCTGTATCTCTGTCTCTGCCACCCTGTCTCATCGTTGCTACAAGGGATGCTAACTAGGAGAAAAGAGAGATATATTTAGAAACAGAGATGATGTTAAAAAAAAAAGACAGATCAAAGACAGGGAAAAGACCATTATATTTAAAAAATTAGATATTATTTATATAAATATATAAAATTATATATGATATATAAAAATATATACAAAATTATATATTATATATTTATTTATAACAATATATAATTTATATTTATATATTATATTAACACAATATATTTATATATTATGTAATTATAAATTATATATAATATATTATATAATATATAAATGCATATTTATAATGATATATAAAAATTGTTGTAGCAAAGAACAGGAAACTAAAGGAATGCCCACCAGTTGGCAAATGGCTGAACAAATCATAGTTTGTAATGTATAGTATAGTATGGAGTGGAATATTATTGTACAGTAAGAAATGATGAAAGGGATGGTTTCAGAAAAACCTTGGGGGTACTTGTATGAACTGATGCAGGGTGAAGAGAGCAGACAAAATGACTGCAATATTGTAAAGGAAACAGACTTTGAAAGCCTTAAGAATGCTGAACAATGCAATGACCAATCACAACTCCAGAAGACTGATGATGAAACCTGCTTCCTACCTCCTGACAGATAGCTGATGGACCACAGGTGTAGTATGAGCCAGATGTGTTTAGAAATGATCATGGGTGAATCTGGTTTTGCTACTACTCTTTCTTGTTACAAGGGAAGGTTTTTGTTTTTGCAGAGGAGCACTGGAGACGATATTAATAGAAAGACAAAAAGGGAAAAAGTATCAATGAAGCATTTAAAATGCACAATAGAGATCAAAAGATGGTTCAGAAGGGGAGCAGTGTTCATAACACTGTGTTTGACTTAATACACCCTTTAAAACAAACAAGTTGTATATAATAGGGATTCACAGATTTATATATATATATATACTCCCTTTTCTGTTATTCTATATGGAAGTGTTCATGTTGTCAAGTTTATAATTAAAAAAAAAGAAAATTTGGACAAAAATCAATCTAAGATTTTAAAATGCTAAGCCTGAAGAGCTTGTATTTTATCCTAGAGTCAGTAGGGACCCATAGAAACTTTTTTTAGCAGGAGAATGACATAGTCAGAATTGTAATTAGGAATATCGATTTGGCAACTGTGTGGAGAACAGACTGGAGTAGGCAAGACTTGGGGCAGGAAGACCAATTACAAAGTTATCGTCGTAGTCCAAGAGAGAGATGACAAGGGTCTGCACCTAAGTGGTGACTATGTGACTATGCAGGAGGGGATACATTCAAGAGATGCTACCTGAAATGGAGCTTCTGACTTTTCCAGGAAGAAGATCCTTGAGTCCTTCTGGAGGATTTCTCTGAGCCATCCCTTGCCTGACCCTCCGGATCTGCACAGGTTCCTGAGGCAGCCCTGCTCTAGAGAGTTTCCCAAAGACTACCCAGGAAAATTAGACTCAAAGACCTAGCCACCCAACAAGTAATCCACTTTCTGATCCGCTGGAGAAACCAGCTCTCTGACCTTCCAAAGTATGGGTCGCCTCACCTTTAGACCCCCATCCATCACAAAACTTGTGGTATGGTGCTTCCTTTTGACATTCCATAGCTCAGCAGGTAAGTGGTCTTAATGAGTTATATTCATCTTTGAGAGGCATATATTCTATAATATATAGAAAGCTAGCTTCGGGATCAGGAAGACCTCTGTTCAAATTCCACCTACAACATAAATTACCTGTGTGACCCTGGACATCACTTAACCTCTCACTGCCCTCTAGAAAACTCTGAGAATGTAAGGTGCAGAATAGTTGCACATATTCATTGATGGAAGAGTTTTCTCACTGAAAGCTCCTATGGAACACTGGAATGCAGATGGAGTTCCACATACTCATGAAATCACAGGTGCAGATAAACCAAATATACAGAGTGCTTTTTTTTTTCCACAAGGATCCTGTGAATTAGTTAGGGACAAGAATTAATACCCCCATTTCACATTTGAGCAAACTAAGTCTCATTGAAGATAGATGAGTTACCCATGATCACCCTTCCAGTAAGGATCTGAAGAAGGATTTGAAAACCAACTCCATGTCCATCACTCTCCCCACTCCTATATTAGAGCTGCCTTTGCTTGATAAACTGCTCAGATTTCCTGAGGGGCAGTATGGAATAGCAAAGAGCCATCCCTGAATACAGGATAGCCCAGATTCAAGTTCTGCCTCTGATTCAGACTGATGGAAATGTAATAGTAAAGCCACTTAATCCTTCAGTGGCCCAGGCAACTCTTAGAGATTTTAAGTTATGGCGCGGTTCTCTATCTATCTGCATTGGGAGAGGGAGTTCCTCCACTAGGAGTGATGAAATCACAGGCGCATGTGTGTATGTGCGTGTGTGTGTGTGTGTGTGTGTGTGTATGTGAATGTGTACGTACAGTTAAATATTTGTCACTCTAGAGCTGACTACATTGATATGCCCATAGTTATCAGTTTGAGATTTGTGCTGTGGCTAATTAGTAGTGTAAAGCAACTGAACCAGACTAGGAAAAGGGACTAGTAATCATTTGGAGGCTGACAACATATCGACCCAAAGAGTGAAAATTACCTTGAGCCTAACAGAGCATAAAACATTTATCCTTGTTAGGGATCAATTTTTCATGGGGATGGGTAAGTGGGGTGGGGAAGATGACGTGAAGTGTGGTTAGGAGAACACTGCCTTTGGAATCAGGAGGCCCCAATCTGCGTCTCAGCTCTGCCTCAGGAGACCTTAGATTTGGAGCTCAAAGGGATCTTGGAGGTCATTGGGTTCAATCTCTTCATTTTGTATATGAGGACATTGAGGTACAGCAAGGTGAAGGGACACGCCCAAAGTCACACAGAAGCCAGAGTTGAATCAGAGGTTCTCAGACTCCAGAGCGTGGGCATCACTCTCCTTAAAGAGGGGCCAGGAAACTGTGACAATCTTTACGTTGAGGACCTACTAGCTCTGTGACTAGGAGAAAGCACCCAGGACTTTAGCACAATGTCTGGCATATTTGTTATTGTTGTTGTTCAATTGTTCCACTTGTGTTCAACTCTTTGTGAACCCACTTGGGGTTTTCTTGCCAAATACACTGGAGTGGTTTGCCATTTCCTTCTCCGACTAATTTTTACAGATGAAGAAACTGAGGCAAACAGGGTTGAGTGACTTGCCCAGGGTCATAGAGCCAATAAGTATCTGAGGCGAGATTTGAACTCAGGTCTTCCTGATTCTAGGCCCAGTGCTCTATCCACTTAGCCACCTAACTGTCCAGCCTGGCATATAGTAGATGCTTAATAAATGTTTGTTAACTGACAATTAGTCTTTCTGAGCTTCTTTCCACATCTATAAAATGCGGATGATAATATCTGTGCCACTTACTTCTCAAGGTTGTTGAGAGGAATGGACTTTGATGAGCTGTAATGTGGCCTATAAATGTGAGCTATTGCCTTATCTCATATTCTTTGGAAGGTCAATATGTGAAAGGTAATAATGATCTAAGACTTAGACATTTAGGGCCTGACAAAGTCAGGCTTTTATGTTTTGATAGACCTATGGCTAAGGGAGATCATTTGACTGCTGTATGGAGGATGTATTGGAGAGAGGAAAAGATGGGAGCAAGGAGATCAATTAGGAGGTTATTGCAAATAGTCCAGGAGAGAAGTGATAAGGCCTGCGCTGGGGTCATGGTCACATGAGTAGAGAGGAGAGTAAATACAAGAGATATCGAGGACATAGAATCAACAAGATTTGGCAACCAATTGGATATGGGAGTAGAGGCCATGGTGAGGGAGAGGATAGTGTATATAGGATGATTACAAAGGAATGAGCTTGATTGACTGGAAGATGATGGTGCCCTCAACATCTACAGGGAAGTTTGGAGAAAAGCAAGTTTCTAGGGGAAGAAATTAAATTCTATTTTGGTCATATAACTTTATGATGCCCATAAGTCGTCTAGGAAGGTATATCCAGCAGATAATGATGCAGGATTAGAATTCAGGAGAGAAATTAAGATCTAGAACTAGGAGTAATCTGGGTTGAGGCTATACTTGAACAATGGGAGCATATGATATTACTAAGTTAGAGGAGAAAAGAAGATCCCAGGGAGAGCTCTTTGGGATACACACACTAAGGAGGGAGAAGAACATGGATACTGAACTAGAGAGAAACTCCATGGTACAAAGGAAAGCCCATTGGATCTGGAATTTTCCTCTGCAAAATGAAGAGGTTGACTATAAAGTCTCCTCCAGATCTGAGTCTATGCCCTTGTCTCCCTTCCTTTACAGCTCCAGGAAAGCATAGCTCCCATGCTCTTGCTGAAGACCGCCTCTTCAAACATCTCTTTAGGGGCTACAATCGCTGGTCGCGCCCAGTTCAGAACACTTCTGATGTGGTGATCATCCACTTTGGGCTCTCCATTGCCCAACTCATTGATGTGGTGAGTCTTTATTCCAACATGAGACTCTCCTGCTCAGCCCTACCAGGCTGGCCCTCCACTTTGCACCCAAATTGAACTCTCTGCTCCCATCCACACGGTCCTTCCTCTTCTGTTCTGGCTCCTTCCTTTTATTTTCAGCCCTTCTCATCCCTATCCAACCCCGACCCTTCTCCCTACTCCAGTTCCACCCAGCTGCAGCTAACTTTACAACTCAGTGTGACTCAGCTTGGACCCTTTTCCCCTAAAAATATAACAGATATGATGAAAAATAATCTCCTTTACTTCTTTTTTGTCTTATTGCTATAGCTAGTATTTCTAAAGATGTTGGGTTTTTTAATTATATTGGTTAATTTTGTTAAATTGTTTTTTCTTTTTTAAATTCTTTATTACAAAGGGGGCTCTCTGGAAGGGGAAGGAGGTAATGGATACACTAGGGCATGTAGGTGATATAAAAACAAAAGATATAAATAGAACATTTTAAAAAGATACAATACTTGGAAACATACTTTAGGAAAGTGAGAGAAGGTGGACATGGCCGTGGAAACGGAGAAGAGACCTAAATACAAGTGGCAGAGAAGTCTGTCACTTCTTGTCACATCCACCCCTGTGGGTGTACCCTTTAGTGGGATAGAAAACATTGGCATTGTGTTCACACAATGGAGATTAAGAAGTAGCAGGGTAACTGAGAAGTATTGGGTGTTTCCTTTGGTGAGGGAGCCTGCTATCAGCAGTTGTCCCTCTTTTCCTAGTCTGGTTTAATTGCTTCATGCCGAATGAGCTCTCTTGTTTCTTCCCACTCAAAACCAGGATGAAAAGAATCAGATGATGACGACCAATGTCTGGCTGAAACAGGTGAGATTCTGTCCTCAGTTTGTCCCGGTAGGGAAGATGCCCCAAAGAAGGAGCCAGGAATCTCCAGGGAAAGCTTTTGGAGTTCCCAAGAATCTCATGGGCAGTCATCATGCAGGCCTATCCCTCATTTCTCAATTCAATTCAGAAGTATTTATTAAGCACCTACTATGTGCTAAAACACTTTACTAGTTCTGAGGATACAAGGACAAGACTCTAACTTCGTCAATTCTGTTGTCTGTTCCTACTAGGTGAGGAAGGAAGTGCCTTCCAGAGAAGCAGGAAAACATCCTAGCCTGCCTGGGCCAGCCGTTCCATCTCATTCCCTCCCTGCACCCTTTCTAGCTTCCTATGACCCCACCAGTTGCTTTGTTTAGTCTGCCCCGGAGCAGGTACCCCATTCCCCTTTCCAGATGTCTGCTACCTGACATTCTGGAATGACTGCCTCAAGCCTGAGCCCCTAGAGATAAGCTACATGAACCCATTTCTCAATATTAATGAACTCCCACCCTGTCATGCCCTCCCCATCCCAATGACTCTAAATCCCCAGATAATATTGTTCCAATTCCATTCTCTGCTCCCTTTTAGCCACTCTCTTATTCCCATCACCCTCAACCCAACCTCTCCCTGCCTAATGTCCTGCTCTAAAGCTACCCACCCTTTCCACTGCTCTCTGGAATGCCTGCTCGGTATGCAACAAACTTATTTTCTTCTTTTCCTTTCTATTCCTTCTATCTTCTTGCACTCACTAAGACCTGGCTTTCTCCTGAAGGCACAGTTTTCCTAGCCATCCTTTTCAGTACTGGTTGCATTTTTACTCATATCCCCCAATATGACGAGGGTCATGATGGGGAAGTTGGAATAGTGCTTGCTCCCCCATTTCCACTTCCAGGCTCTCCTCTTACCATGATCACTCAGTAACCTCTCTCCTCCTTTGAAGTCCATACAAATCTATATTTATCACCCAATTAAGATTCTCATAGTTGTTATCTACTAACCTACAAGACACTATCCTTCAGGAGTTCAGTGTCTAGATCAGTTTCTCTCCTTCATAACTCTTGCCCTCATACTAGAGAACTTTCATACATATTAACACTGCCTTAAACACTGTAACCTCCTAGTTCCTCAGTTTATCCAATTCCTAAGACCCATTGGCCATACCTATAATCTTGCCATTCAACATCCATAAGTGGATACTTTCATGTTTGTGAACTCTGAAATTCCTTTATCTGATCATAACTTGTTATTCTATCATTCCCTCTGCCTTGCAACTCCAAGCTCTGTTCTTTATCCTAAGTACAACCTCCAGTCCCTTGACCCCTCAGTTCTTTCCCAGGATATCACCAATGCACTGGCTACACTCTCCTCCCTTCCCCGTCTTGATGCTTTGATGAACCAGTTCATATCTACACTGTTCTCTTTTCTTAAATCCCTTGTCTCTTTATTACTTCCCAGATATAAGCCCTTACCTACTAAGCCTCAGCCTTGGATTACTTCCATCATCTGCTGTCTCCAATCCTACTCATGTACCGCTGAAAGAAGCTGGAGAAAATCACAAAACCATGCTGACCGGGCTCATTGCAAATGCTCAACTGGGCCCTCACTGAGACAAGGCAATCCAGCCACACCTCCCTAATTAGATTACCCATCACAACAGCAGCTTTTCTAGAACTTTCCATTGCTTCGCAAACTTCTCATGGCTTCTCCTACTCTCATCCTTTCAGCTGAGAACCTGGTCTCATATTTCAGTGAAAAAATCAAATGCATTCACTGAGAGCCCCCTTTTCTTCATCTCATATTACTCAGATGTCTTCAGCTACCATCTTCTCCTTCACCCCTATCTCACATGAAGAGATGGCCCCTGTCCTTGCCAAGGCAAACCCTTCTACGTGTACAAGTGATCTCATTCCATTCTGTCTTCTCCAATAAATTTCTCCTTGTATAACCCCCAACTCTCTTGCTTATCTTCAGTCTCTGCCTACTGGTTGCTTCTCCATTGATGACAAACATGTCTTTGTCATCCTCATTCTCAAAAATCCCTGCTATTTATTATCTTCTATCTGTGCTCCCTTTGGGGGATAAATTTCTTTAGTAGTTTGTCTACAAGTGATGTGTTATTCACTTCTTTTCCTATGACTCTCAACTCTCAGTAGTTTGGCTACAGACCTCATCATTCTACTGAAATGGTTCTCTCTAGTTTTCTAGTTTGTTTTTTTTTAATTGCATACCTATTTCATTGATCTATTCCTTCTTTTTTTTGCTGATGAAAAAGTTTAGAGATACAAATTTTTTTTCCCCTCAGGAAAATTTGATAGTCTTCCAAAAATGTTATTTTGCCTTGTTATTTGATGAAATATGCTATTATTTCTACAATTTATGCTTTTACCTACAAATTCTTTAGAAGTAAATTATTTAGTTTCCAATTAATTTTAATCCTTTATTAAAAGGCCCTTTATTGAATATATCTTATTGTATTGTGGTTGGCAAAAGTTATGTTTAATATTTCTGCTCTTCTGAATTTGTTTATGAGGTTTACATGCCTCAGTACATGGTCAATTTTTGTAAAGGTGCCCCACACAACTAAAAGTACATCTATTCAGTAATTTCCAGAGATCTAACATAACTTCATTATTTATCTTTTAATTCGATTTTTCAGTTTTGCTGTCTGTTTCTTTCTATAAATCAATTAGTTTTTCCTTTATTTAGATTCTTCCATTTTGTGGCTGCTCTCCAGGTGAGCTCTATATCATTCAGGCCACATATGTGTATATACATATATCAATATTAATTCACTGTTCATAGTGTTTTTAAACATAAGGACATTTTCTCATTTAATGAAGTTTATTTTTTTATTTTTGCTTTGTCTGAAACCATGATTGCTGTTCTTGCTTTTCTGAATTCGTTTGAAGTATAATAGGTTGCTTTAGTCCCTTATGTTAACTGTGTGAATTTTCTATTTTAAGTGTATTTCTTGTAATTAACAAGCTGTTACATGCTGCTTTGTAATCCATCCTGCTATCCCTCATCCATTTTATGGGTGTTTGTCTTATTTACATGTATAATTATGATTGTTAATTGTGTTTTTTCTTCCATCATATTTTTAATACTGTTTTGAAACCTGCTTCTGTTATACTCTCTCTTCTCTTTCTTTCTCCCAGTCCTTGATCATAGGTTCTTGACATTTATTTCTTTCCTTTTATGCTAAACTTTATGCTTCACTTTCTAAAGATGGAATTTATTTTGATTAATCCTTTACTAAAAGTACCCTCCCTCTTCGTCTCCTTCTATCTCTCGGCCCCCGCCTGATTCCTTGTTAAGTTTAATGCAATTTTATACCAAACTCTTTGTGACTGTGTGCATTCAACCCTCCTTTGTCTAATTCAGGTGAAAATGAAATTCATTTATATCTCACTCTCCTTGAATTTAGACCTAATTATGTGAGATAGTAAGTTCTATGCCTTTCTTCCCTTTCTTTCTCTTTTTTTTCTTTTAAGAATATTGAAATATAACAAAACCTCCCATGAACTCTGCCTTGTTTGCTCTGCTTCTATGATTCTTGAAGACAATAGGGTTTGGAGGGGACACTTTTTTCCCATTAGAAGATAAATATTATGCCGTCACATATACCTTCCAATTGCTCCAATATATTTAAATTTCTGTCTTTGCATTTCTAAATATCTATTCAGCTCTGGTATCTTCATCTGGAATACCTAGAGAAGTCCTCTATTTCATTTAAGACCTATTCTCCCCTCCCCCACAGCAGTATGTTCAGCTTTCCAGGTAAGGTTTTTTTTTTTTTTTAATTTTAAATCTTTATATTTTGCCTTCTGGAATGTCATACTCCAAAACATACTCTTCTTTATAGTGGTTTAAGAGGTCTTCTGTGTTTGTCACTATGGCTCCTTAGTACTGGAACCCTTTCTTTATGGATGCCTATGTTATTTCTACTTTGGCCCGGAAGCTATGGATTTTTGGCTAGGATGTTCCTGGGAGTTTTTATTTAGAGACAGTTTTTTTCAGGAGATGACTAGTGTATTCTATTTTCACTTTGCCCTCTGGGCTATTTTAATTCATGATTTCTTGAAATGTGATATCTAGGGTTTTGTTTTTGTTTTTAGTGGAGGTTATCAGGTTGTCTGATGATTTTTAGATCAACTCCCCTTGCACCCAGTTTCCAGGTCAGCTGTTTCTGGTAAGAGATACCTTATGTTTTCTGATACTTTTTCAGCCTTTCAATTCAGTTCTAACATTTCTTGTTGTCTCATGGAGTCACTAATTTCTGTCTGATCCTACCTAATTTTCAAAGAACCTATTATTTGGGCAAGACTTTGAACTTTCCTTACTAAGCTGTATATTATCCTTCCAATTCTTTCCTCTAGAGCTCTTATCTCCTTTATATCATCATTTTTAAATGCTTGCTTCATTTCTTCCAGGAACTCCAGTATAGCTTATGCAAAATCTATAATTTTCTTTAAGGTTTTATTTGCAGATGAGATGTATTCTTTCCTTCTCCTGAATTTGTGCTTTAAACATCCCTGACTCCAAAACCTTTGTTTATTATCAGTATTTTCTTCCTCTTACTTGTTTCTCGATCTTACTTCATTAATTGGGACTTTGTATTGAGGCCAGGCTTTGTGCGCTTCTGGAAGAAATAGTGAGGCTTGCTTTGATATTGATCCATATTATCTGGGATATGGACAACGGGTGCTGGGTCTTTCAAGGACTTCAGTGCATTACACTAGGAAGTCTACATAGCGGATAGGACAAAGGTCTGCACAGGGCAGTATACTTGGGGCGGTCTGCATTGGAGTGGTCTGATCCAATGAGAGCCATGATTGATGCCATCTTGATCTAAACTCCACAATCATCTGAGCCCTAACTCTGAGTCAAAGCAATATGCTCTAGGTCCTTTATCTCTATGTATGTACTGTGCTCCTTGGCTGGAGCCTTTCCGTAGGGCCCATAGTCTCTTTAAGTGAACTTGGATTGACAAAATGCACTCACGGTAGTCTCTCTTTAGATTTTCTGCATTTCTCTCTCTGGTGCTCCATGTTGAAATAATTGTGAGAGAGCTGGTCTGCTTCCACTTAGATGTCTCAAGGAGAGCCTCCTTTTTTTTAAACTTTACATATATTCTGCTTATTTATTTGTGTACGTGTTGCTCCCCTCAAATCTCCTGAAGAATGCAAGTTCCCTGAGGGTGGCAACTATTTCTTTTTTTATCTTTGTCTCTTCAGGGCCTACCACAGTACTTGGCACATAGTAGGTATTTAATAAATGTTTATTGAATTAAATTAAATTGAACCTTCATTTCCTTCCTGCTTAGGAGTGGAGTGACTATAAGCTACGCTGGAACCCAACTGAATACGGCAACATTACATCGATCCGGGTCCCTTCAGAGATGATCTGGATTCCTGACATTGTCCTCTACAACAAGTAGGCAGCCCTTCCTTTTTAGCCAGAATCTGGATGTGTTGACCAGGTTTTGCCCTTCTGAATCTGGGAGAGGTCGGTGCATGTAATAGTTCCAACTAGAGCTGCTGCTATTTATGGCTTGTCCCCCCAACTAGATTGCTTTGATGGCAGGGAGAGCGTCTTTTTCATCTTTGTACCTCCCTTGAAGTGCATAACATGGGTCTAGTATATAGTAAGTGTCCAGTAAACACTGGTTGATGTTGATGGTGATGGTAATGATAATGGTGATGGCGGTGGTGATGATGATGGCTTAGCCATCAAATGAAGAAACTGAGGGACCAGTCCAACCACTTGTGAGTTATTTTATTCCTTGTAGCTCTGGGCTTTTTTCTACTTCTAACCCAAAATCAGGTCAAGAGAAGGAAGGAAGGCACATCTGTGGCAACAGACCCGACTTCCTTGGAGCCCTAAGGAATCTTTAGGGTCACCTGTGAGATCTAGATTGTGTTCAATGCTCTTTGACTTTAAATGTAGCCTGTTTAAATAGGAGTGGGAGAGAGGAAGAGGTCACAGGAGGAAGAGTAGCAAAACTATGCATCTACAACCCCTCAGACGGATAATTTTGGAAGAGTCCTCTTTTTTTCCACTGCTAGACTAAATTTATCATATCCCAGCTTTCGAGTCAGAAAGCACCTTAGAGTGCATCTAATCTAGTCTCCTTATTTTACTCTTCCAAATCCCAGAGAAGTGGTGGGGCAGCTAGGTGGCACAGTGGATAGAGCTCGGACCTGGAGTCAGGAGGACCTGAGTTCAAATCCGGCCTCAGACACTTGACACTAGCTATGTGACCTAACCCTGTTTGCCTCAGTTTCCTCATCTGTCTGAGCTGGAGAAGGAAATGGCAAACCACTGGAGTATCTCTACCAAGAAAACCCCAAATGGGGTCACAAAGAGTCAGACATGGCTGAATTCAAGAACTCTGGCATTAAGCGGCAGAGCTGACATTCTAACCTAGTTCTTCTGATGCTGAAGCCAAAAATCATTCCATTGCACTAGACAATCTCTATTATTGAATAAAGTCTCAAGTCCTTAATCTGGTATTTTAGATCTATGTGTCCAAGTTTCCAGGATTGACCCAAAGGAATTTATACTTTCCCCTTCTTCCCATGCTATATTGTTAATTATATTAACAATAGCTGATATTATATGGGGCTTTAAGGTTTTTCTTTTTTTGTTTTTCTTTTTTGGCAATTGGGGTTAAGTAACTTGCCCAGGGTTACACAGCTAGTAAGTGTCAAATGTTTGGTCTGAGGCAGGATTAGAACTCAGGTGCTCCTAACTGCAAGGTCAGTGCTCTATCCACTGTGCCACCTAGCTGCCCCAACCTTAAGGTTTTTCAAAGCACTTCACAAACAGTATTTCATTTAATCTTCTTGGAGACAGGTGATATCATTATTCTCATTTTACAGACGGGAAAACTGAGGCTGAGGGAGATTAAGGTGATTTTCAAGGTTACACAGCTAGTAAGAGTCTGAGGCAGGATTTGAACCCAGGTCTTTTTGACTCCAGGTCCAGCATCCTAAACACTATGTCACCTATAGATATTTCCTACATATTTCTTGGATCATCGTAATCAAAGAATCCTTTCTCTAGTGACCAAACTGTTGGAGGTTCCCCCTGTAACAGGCTGTTATTATTATCCTTGGATAGTGCTTGGTCTGCTGCAAGTGTCTCTTTAAAACCTTTCCACATACGTAGGCCCTACTACAAGTTGGGCTTTGCTGGTATAGCCTTGGAGATGCCCAAGTTACCGTGAAGCACAGAGGGAAAGAAATTTGTGACATTCCCTTGATCCAGCGAGATGCTGAAAAGTTACCGCCTAAGCAAAAATGTGGTCTGTGCTGCCACCTAGTGGTGATTTTGTTTAGTAACAACAGAAAGGCTAAGTTGGGTGTTTCTAACACTTTTTTTTTTTTAATTGCTCACCTTTAAGCTCATTTCCATGACTTCTGGAACTCTGACTAGGGGTCATGTAAAGGGAGGGAGAATCTTGTCTTTGTTTGTCACCTCCCAGGCTCTCTTGAGCCTGTGAACTGTGGAAGAGTGGGCATCTTCGTGTATGTTGTCTCTGATACATTACGTGTGTGACCTTGGACAAGTGATTTCCCTGCTCTAGGCCTCAGTTTCCTTTCCAGTAAAATAAAAGTATTCAATGGAATGATCATTAAGCTTCCTTTCAGCTCTTTATCTCTCTTCTTCTCCCCGCCCCCAGCCCCAGTCAGGCACACTCTCTTCTCTTCCTAACTTTCCTGTTACTGTGGATGGTTCCACATCCTTCCAGTCCTCCAGGCTGGTAACATAGGAGCCTTCCTTGACTCCTCACTCTCTCTAACTAACCCACTTCCCCTCATCCGATATGCCACCAACTCCTATTGCTTTTGCCTTCCTACCATCTCTTGTATATTGTCCCTTCTCTCCTGGCACGTTGCCACCACCCTCATCATCTCACAACTAGACTATTTCAATAGCCTCCTGGTGGCTCTGCCTGTTTCAAGTCTCTCATCTTCCGTGCAGCCACCGAGTGACTTTCCTAAAGCAGACACCCTGCCCCAGCCCTATTCAATAAACTCCAGTGGTCTCCTGTTACTTTCAGGATCAAATATAAAATCCTGTTTGATCTTTCTAGTCTTCTTACATCTTCCTCATTGTTGCTGTTCAGTTGTTTCAGCCGTGTCTGACTCTTCATGACCCTATTTGGGGTTTTCTTGGTAAAGACACTGGAGTGGTTTGCCATTTCTAGCTCATTTTTACAGATGAAGAAACTGAGGTAAACAGAGTTAAGTGACTTGCCCAGGGTCACACAGCTAGTTAGTATCTGAGGCTGGATTTGAACTCAGCTGTTTTTGACTCCAGGTCCGACACTCTATCCACTGAGCCACCTAGCTATCCCTACTTACTTTCCTTCAAATATTCGTAGATACAGTGACACTGGCTTCTAAATCAAGACAGTTCCATCTCCTGACTTTGTGCATTTTCACTAGTTGCCCCCAAGGCCAGGAACTCTCTCCATCTCCATCTCTGTCTCCTGGCTTCCTTCCACTTTCTGCAAGAAGTTTTTCCTGGTTCTCTTAAATCACAGCATCTTCCCTCTGATGATTGTTTCTGTTTCATCCTGTAATAAATCTTGTTTGTATATAGTTCTTTGCAGTTGTCTCCTCCATTAGACCGTGAGCTCCTTGAGAGCAGGAACTCTGTTTTGTTTTGTTTTTGCCTTTCTTTGTATCTCTAACACTTGCCACAGTGCCTGGCACTTAGGTGCTTAATAAATGCTTTATTGACTTGACTTGATCCTATGAAGTGGATAATGAAGGCTATTGTCAACAGTTGAGTCTAGATAATAGAAGGGTAGAGCCAAGATGGTGGAGTAAAAGCAGTGACTTGCTTGAGCTTTTCCCCAAAACCACTCCAAATACCCAAAAAAATGGCTCTAAACAAATTCTAGAGCAGCAGAACCCACAAAAAGACAGAGTGAAACAAATTTCCAGCCCAAGACAGCCTGGATGATTGATTGGAAAGGTCTATTGCGCTGGGCTGGGAGAGGAGTGAAGTTCAGTGGTTTCCAGACTTCTCAACCCACAAACACCAAAGACAACTTAGAAGGTCAGTAGGAAAGGTCTATTGGACCTTGGTGAGAGAGAAGCTTAGTCCCAAGCTTCTCCCTTGGCTGCTTCCTGAGCTCTCAGCCCATAGAAGGAGAGGGAAGCTAGTGGCTGATCAGAGGGGGATTGCAGAGCTCTCTTTGCTGGTGCTGAGGCAGGAATTTCTTGCTTTGCCTGTGTTTGGATCTGGGTTGCAGTTCTGGGTGGCAGTCCTGGGGTGAAAAGCAGCGCTGGTGTGGTGGAGCTTGTAGTGGCGGTAAAGAGGGAATCCTCCTCCCAGTTCCAAGGCAGAAAAGAGTGTTTATGGTCACTCATAGACCAGAGCACAGGCCAGGAAAGGAGTAAACATCTCTCCTTTAATCATACCACCTTGGAACAACTGAAAATTTACAGATCCCTAGAAGTATCTCTGAAAACAGTTGCATAAAACCCCCAAAGCTTGGGGCAGTACATTCTCCACATTGGAAACAGACCCCTACCTTAACAAAGAATTTAAAACTCAAGTAATTGGCTGGGAACATGAGCAAACAATGCAAAAAAAAAGTCAGACCATAGAATCTTTCTTTGGTGACAAAGAAGATCAAAGCATACAACCAGAAGAAGACTCAAAGTCAAAGCTCCTACATCCAAAGCCTCCAAGAAAAATATGAATCAGTCCCAGGCCATGGAAGGGCTCAAAAAGGATTCTGAGAAGCAAGTAAGAGAAGTAGAGTAAAAACTGAGAAGAGAAATGAGAGTGATGCAAGAAAATCATGAAAAACAAGTGGACAGCTTGCTAAAGGAGACCCAAAAAATACTGAAGAAAATAACACTTTAAAAATAGACTAACCCAAATGGCAAGAGGTCCACAAAGCCAATGAGGAGGAGAATGCCTTAAAAAGCAGAATTGGCCAAATGGAAAAGGAAGTCTAAAAGCTCAATGAAGAAAATACTTCCTTAAAAATTAGAATGGAGCAGAAGGAAGCTAGTGACTTTATGAGCAATTAAGAAATTGTAAAACAAAACCAAAAGAATGAAAAAATAGAAGACAATGTGAAATATTAAAAAAAAAAAGAGTTGAGTCTGGCATCTTCTCCCATATAAAAATGGTTCCCAGGCTCCTCCAAGGAGAAAAACCTTCTTTAGGATCTGATCCAGGTCACCCCTACTTTTCTTCTAGCCACCTCTTTTCAAAACCTTGGAGTCACCTTTGTCTCTTCTCTTATCTAACCCTCTACATTCAGTTTATCACTAAGTTTTGTTGATTCTTTATTCTTAATGTTTCTTGAATTTCTCCCTTACTTTCCATTCCTGTTGTTTCAGCACCTCAAAGTGGTACAATATATCATACAATACACCCCAAGTGGTATCTCCCTTCCAATGTCTCCTACACGCTCTTCCAGATTAATTTTGAAACATGAATTGGCTCATGTTCCTCCATTAATGGCTCATAACTGCCTGCTGAATGAAGTCTAGTTCCTCAAAGCCCCCCACAATTTATCCCTGACCTGCCTTTGCAACCTGATCTTATGCTGTTCCCCTACATACTCTGTTCTCCATATATCAGGCAATCTGGACTACTTTCTACTCTCTGAACACTTCTTGTTGTTCTGGAGCTGCGATTTTTATCAGGGCAAGGAACTTCTGGGAAGAAATGCCCTCTCTACCAACCCACAGGGGCATCTCTTCTGTAACAGAGCTTAAGTGATTTGCACAGTATCACACAACCCATTGGTTTCAGAGGAAGGACTTGAAACCAGCTCCTCCTGATACCAAGGCTAGCTCTCTACCTATTTAACCACTGGCTTGTTTCTGAGTATAAAAATGGCAAATCCTTATATCTATATAAGTTAAGCACAAAATGAAGATTTGGGGGCCAGGCATTCTTAAATGTTTACATAAAACTCCAAATACACAGCCAGAAAGAGCTTTAGCCTCCTCCCTCCCCTATTCAGCTATTCCGAACCAAGATTGGCCTAAGAAGGTATGGATGGTTTTCTAATTCTTACTTGTTTTTGTTTTTTTTTTTTTGTTTGTTTGTTTGTTTTGCAGTGCTGATGGGGAGTTTGCAGTGACTCACATGACTAAGGCTCACCTGTTCTTCACGGGCACAGTGAAGTGGGCACCCCCAGCAATCTATAAAAGCTCCTGCAGTATTGATGTGACTTTCTTCCCCTTTGACCAGCAGAACTGCAAGATGAAGTTTGGCTCCTGGACCTATGACAAGGCCAAGATCGACCTTGAGCAGATGGAAAAGATGGTAGACCTGAAGGATTACTGGGAGAGTGGGGAGTGGGCCATCATCAATGCTGTGGGCACCTACAACACTAAGAAGTATGACTGCTGCGTTGAGATCTACCCCGACATCACCTATTTCTTCATTATCCGGAGGTTGCCTCTCTTCTATACCATTAACCTCATCATCCCATGCCTCCTCATCTCCTGCCTCACTGTCCTGGTGTTCTACCTGCCATCAGACTGCGGTGAGAAGATCACCCTCTGTATCTCAGTCCTACTGTCACTCACTGTCTTCCTGCTGCTCATCACTGAGATCATTCCCTCCACTTCCTTGGTCATTCCACTCATTGGCGAGTACCTACTCTTCACCATGATCTTTGTCACACTCTCTATTGTCATCACTGTCTTTGTCCTCAATGTTCACCACCGATCTCCAGGAACCCACATCATGCCCCACTGGGTGAGGGTTGCCTTTCTGGGCTGTATACCCCGATGGCTTTGGATGAATCGGCCCCTTCCTGTCCTGGAGCTGCATCACAATCCTGTCCAAAAGCTCAGTACCACTCATCGTTGGCTGGACACCAATGTAGATGAGAAAGAGGGTGAAGAGGAGGAAGAAAGCTGGGAATTTTCTGGCCATTCATCACCAGTAATTGATACCCTCTATTGTCACTGTGGCCATCACCATGGTTCTCCATGTTCCAAGACAGGGACTCAGTTACCAGAGACTGGATTCTTTGTGCCCCCCAGCATCCAAAAAGCCTTGGAAGGTGTGCACTATATTGCTGATCATCTGAGGACTGAGGATGCTGATTTTTCGGTGAGTTGGGAATAGGGGAAAGGGAATGCACCACCAGCTCAGATTTCATAGTTTCTTAGACCTAGAGCTGAAGAAGACCTTGCAGGCCAACTTAGAAGCATCTGTTTTATAGTTGAGTAAATGAAGCCTCTAGGAGTTTAAGTGATCCCATAGATCCCATAGATGAGAGGAAGAACGAGAATTAAAACCCAGATCTCCAATGACTCCAAGTCCAGCATTCCAAACTCAGCACTCTTTCCATTGTACCACATTGCCTTCAAAGAGAATCTCAGTCAGTGGCATTGGTATTTTCATTCTCAGTCTCCTTCTTTGGGGTCCACTTCTGTACTCAATCATACACAACCCTGCACTGCAACCTGTTTAATGTCTCATTTCCTCAACTAGATTGTAGGTTTCCAGAAGGCAGGAACCATAGCATACATTTTCTCATATACCTACTGGCATCAAATACAGTGTCATATGCTTAGCAGGTACTGAAAAATATTTGTGGAATGATTGAAATAATCAGTAGTTTCATGACAGAGCTATCTGAACACAGGCTAATAACTCCACAGCAGAATAGCCCAAAGGCATAAGGCCATTTTATATAGCTGGGTGAAATGTGATGTCTCTACCATTCATGAGGATGAAGAATGCTCAGTTTTATGTACCACTATTGAAAGCCTGATTCCACATGTCAGATTATAGCTAGAGATTTCTCTTAACTCGACATTTGCATTCAGTAGGGAATATTGGTGCTTCTAGATGACACCATAATATCACTGGGAACATCTAAAGCTTGAAATCACAATCATAGAATTTTGTACCTGGAAGGAATTGCAAAGCCTTTAGGACAGGGATTTTTAATGTAGGAGTTTATGAACTTATTTAGAATGTTTTGATAATTGTATTTCTATGTAATTGGTTTCCTTCATATGTATTTTATTTTATGAATTTTAAAACATTTCTGAGAAGGGTCCATTGACTTCACGAGTCTGCCAAAGGGATTCATGACACCAAAGTGGTTAAGAACCCCTTATCTAGGATGTGGTGGGGGTTGTTTGTGGAACAGCTGTGGAAGCTGTTTGTGAGGAGATGTTTGTGGAAAAATTTAGGGATTAATTATAGAGATTGTTAGGCTGTTTAAGCCTTGGAATAGTAGAGGTTCCTTGAAACAAAAACTGGCTTCTGGGGTCTTCTTTTGAACCCTTCTTTCACTAGTTCTTATCCTTTCTAAGGCCCCAGTATGGTAGGCACTCATCTAGGCTATGGCCAAGGTTAACCTTTTACTCCCATTGCCATTTAGGGAAACATTCATGTGTTACCTTTCTCTAATTTTCTGCCCCTTTCATGATGCATTGGTTTTCTGCCACAGGTGAAGGAAGACTGGAAATATGTTGCCATGGTGATTGACCGGATATTCCTCTGGATGTTTATCATTGTTTGCTTCCTTGGGACCATTGGCCTCTTTCTTCCTCCACTTGAAGCTGGCATGATCTAAAAGCACAAGTCAACTGATCCATGGGTGACATTTCTGATGCCTTGTAGCTTCTCTGGATATCTGTAACTATATTTGCATTTTTACTAAGACACTGGGGGAATAGGAGGTACTAATTCAGCCAGTCATTTGAGAGTTGGTATAATGAGGCCACTGGCTATTCCATCGTGAAAGTCCCAATCTGGACTGCCATGAAGCTGATGATTATTTCATTCATTCATTCAGCAAATATTGAGTACCTATTGTAAACACAGCATTATTCTATGTATCAGTGGGAACATGAAAAAAAAGTAAGATGTAGTCCCTGCTCTCCAGGAGCTTACAATCTAGTTGGGGAGAGAAAATATACATGGAACAGTTAAGTTACAATACAAGGTATTGATTAGACTAGGGAAATGAATGAGACCAACTACAAGATCTATAGCAATGGAAGGGGAGGAGAATTGGAAATGTTGGCTGATGTGGGAGAAGACAAAAGTTGGACTTTGAAAAGTAGAAACCATTTGGGCAAGTGGACAGAAGGAACTCTAGGATTGCTGGTGTGAAGGAAAATAGAAACTTATTGTGAAAACAAGCAAGGATTATAGGATCACAGATTTAAACCTCAAAGATCACCTTGTACATCTTCATTTTATAGATGAGGAAACTGAGGCTTATAGAGGTTATGACTTGTCCAAGGTCATACAGATAGTAAGTTGCCAAGTCAAGCTTTGAACCCAGGATTTCCAAACCCAACACTCTCCACTGAACTACTCTGGGTCACTAAGGAGATTGTCCTGGTTGGAGTAGAGAGTGAATGTTAGAGAATAATCAGAAGCATCATTGAAAAGGTAGTTTGGGGGTTCATAATACAGGTGCTTGAATATGAGTTTGAGAAATTTGGACTGGAAGGATAAGGAAAACATTGCAGGTGTTTGAACAAATGAGTGACGTGGAGAAATTAGTGTTTTAGGAATCTTTGTCTAGTGGAAAGGTGGCATAGTATAGTGGATACAGAGCCAGCCTTGAAACCAGAAAGACTTGGGATCTAGTCCTGTGTCCAAAACATACTGGCTGTTTGACCCTGGGACAAATCAATTAACTTCTCAGCTCTCCATCAACTCTCTAAGAGTTTAAGTTTCAGGGTAGGTGCCACTCTTTACTTTAACTCTGAGTCTTAGAAAGTTGTCCAAGGATGTCCATTCTAGTCCCATTACCTATACCTCGATTCTGGACTGCTCACTGATTTCATTCATATTTGACTTCTCTTCTGGTTTGTGAATAAAAGATCTCAAAAAAGGCCTAACTCTCATGCCTATTTTGATGCCATTTTCACCTGATGTATCTTTATAAATTATCATCTAAGCCCCACCATCTTGGCAAAGCATTTTTATTCCTTTCCACTGTTATTTGATGGCATATGCCCCTGCTTCCTGCCCCTGGTCCAGCAACAACTCCTGGAATCCCAACTGAGCTGACACTGATGTCAGGTTATAGCCATCCATTCTGATCAAATGTCTCTGGACCAAAAGCTAAAAAACCCCTTAACAACCCTGTGGCTACTTCACTGTCCCCTACCCAGGACCAGTGTCTGCCCTCTGATCCTCCTCCTGCAGCAAAGGGAAGTACGCTGAACATTGAAACCAATTCATTTCTTCCAGAAGCATAGCTCAGTGTCAATGGAAATGTCACAGAATAAGGTTGGGGGGAGGGAGGCGTAGAATAGGAATCAATTCAACCACAAAACAAATGGTACATTTTTAATTCAACCACAAATCAAATAGAAAGAAGATGGAAGAGTGTTTTATGGAAACAACCAAAAAATAAAGGAGGGGAGGAAGGGAGAGAGGAAAAGAGAAAAGGCAGGGTGAAATGAGGAAAGGAGGGAGGAAAAGAATGAGGGAAGAAGGGAGAAG